TTTCGTATAACCTCTGCAACCTCCAGTATGCACATCTACAGTTTTTTATATCATTTCTGGTATTTACTATCTTCTATAAGAGCTGTTGGCTAAAATCAGTAATATAGGGCAACACTATCACACTGTAAAAGGTCATGGCATGCTCACTTGACCCCCACCTGTACACATAGGGTTAACAAATTATTATAATGTTACTTCTACTAGATGACATTCTAGCATAAGTTTAAATTGAAATATTGAGATGCACAATGTATAAATATTGAATCATTGAAGTAACTGTGTAACTGCAAATATTAAAAGGGTATGTACTTTAAGCATATAATGAACTGTCTTTGTAGCAAGTGAATTGTATGACTTACTCCTTAACCATAAAGCAAGTCTGTTTTTTGAAATTCTGGTTGGATCATTACAAATAGCAAACAATCTCAGTTGATTTTACATTTAAAGTTATAATATTTTTTGAAAGAAGAAAGTTAATCATGTTCAATTATTCCATTTGTTTAATTTTTTTCCCATTGTATTTTATAAAAACTATGTTTTTCTTGATCAAATAGACTGAAATTCACAATGACCACATTTCATAAGTTGTAGAGCCATAGTTGCATGTGCAACACCCTCCACCCTACCCCCAAAAACTTGAATTTAACTAGATTATTGACAAGATCTAGTTAATAATAATATAAATAGAAGAGTGAAGTATTCATTCAGGAAACTGATGATACTGAGAAGAATCTGCTGAAAATAACAAGAAACTGCCAGAAATATTCTATTTGTAATTTTTCATTGAAATTCAATTTAATAAATAACCGGTCTCAATTGTTATAAGACAATAAACAATTTAGGTTTGATATTTACAAGTTTGAAGGAAGTATCAAAATGGTTATATTTCATGTGAAATCACAAAATATATAATAAAAAAAAAAACAACAACAACCATACATTGGATCTGTAAAAAGTACAAGTCAAATCACAAAGTATGGAGTGTACAGTGCCTAGCTTAGACTGGTTGTTTTTGTTACTTTGGTTTAATTTTTAAGAAATATATTTGTTTCATCAGAAAATCTGATTTCTATATCTATTTATAATTCATCTTTCTAGTTCCTATGTCTACAACATTACATAAGTTGGCTGTTTGACAAAATCCAGCTTTTTTTTTATCAGTTCAAAACCCTTTGTTTGCTGAAGGCCTATCTTGTGAATTTCTTGGAAAATTGGATTTTGGATGCTTTTAAGTTTGTGCTACTATATTCAACCATTAAAGAATTTGACATGCACTTGAACATTTGCTAGTCTGTTAACATTTAATTGTATCTAAAAAAAAACATTCATACAATGTAAATTACAGTTAATTTTTGAGTATTACTTAAAAAAAAAGGTGAGTAATAATGACCAATAATTCTTTTGCAGTAAGAATCCTACCTGTTTCTCCAGTGCAAATTTCTACACAATCCTGACCTTTAACTTTAAAACAGTACCAATGTATCCGTAGACTTTGGTATGTATTGTGTACTAGAAAAAAAAAATTTAGATAGACCTAAAATTTGAGATTCTTTTTTTCTTAAACTCAGAGAAAAAATGTATGAAATATTTTAGTGGAAATAAATCATTACTTGTTATAATGTAATTTGGTTTGTTTCTGTTTTTGAACTTCACACCTACACCTTGTATTGTAGGGTTTGTGTTAACACCACTAGCAGCAAGGGTACTGGACTGATGACCAAGGGCAGACTGGTCATAGAAGCTTTTTGTGGTTTACCTGTTATTCATAATTAAGTCTATTAATTTTAATTAGTATTGTAAAAGTTTAGCAGCTCTTCTGGTAGAAGTTATTACATAATTGCAGTCATCTACTTTTTAGGCCTATATTTAACAGTGTGTGTGATATATATTTTTATTGGTTGTTAAAAGTACAAAAGTGTAAAAATTAGTTTTGATGTTCTTCATTAATGCCTTAAGAAAAATATTTTTGGTTGTGCTAATTGTTTTTTTGATGTTTAACAAATACATCTGTACAAGACATACACTATACAAATCTTTTTAAAGTAATATTGTTTAGTATAATGTAATGAACTTTTTTTATTTTTCTTTACTAGGATTGAAAACTTTGAGACAACGTTGTATAATTTGGTAAATAAAGAAAAGGGAGGTCCATTACAGATTCAGGACAGATTAGGGAGTTGGAAGGAGCTTAGTCCAGAGGATAAGGTAACCATTTTGCATGTTCACTTTTTGTTTGAAAGTTTCAAAGCATACGACTTGTTACAGAAACACATATTTTTTTACAATGTTTGTTTCATTAGAAAATAATGAATTATACGGCTCACATTTAATTTTCCTTGCTAGTTGAACAGGCACTGACATTTAATATTTCATCTGAAACTTTCATCATTCAATAGTGAATTACAATAAAAATTGTATGATATGAAGAGTGTAAAACTAGTAATGAATAATGCCTTTACACCACTTTTTTATTATTTCATGTCTACTTTTACAAGTAAAACCATACCAGTTGACAGTTAATTTTTCAGTCTTATTGTTGAAGGAAATCTACAAATTCAGTTTGTACAATTTTTACATCTAAATTTATATCTAACTCATTTTGTTGAGCTTTATAACTCTCAGTAATCTATGTTCCTAGTAGATGCACGGTGAGAGGTTTAGGAAAGTTAACAAAATCATTCAAATGATTCATTAATTGATTTTATAGCAGTTGTAGAGTTAATGTTTTCCCAGTTATGAATATAAATAGCATTTCTGTTTTTTGTCTTAAATATGCTAGTAATGATTGAAAGTACTAGACTGCATGTATACCCCATATAATGGAAAAGGAAACTGGAGAAATCTCATCAGTACCCTTAGTGGCCACATGCATTAACTGATATATATATATATATATATGTGTGTGTGTGTGTGTGTGTGTATATATTGAAGTTATTCCATCATTGAAGTTATGAAATCTGTGCATTTTATGAGAGAAATAACTTATTCTTGACACATCATAATCATTAATAATAAATTATGAGTAATGACATTCATTTGAAATGGTTCCCCTCCCCTCTCATCTCTAAGTAGATCAGCAGTAAATCTACAGGTTTACAATATTAGAATTCAGGTTTCGCTACCCGTAGTGGGCAGAGCACAGATAATCTATTGTATAGGTTTGTGCTTAATGACAACAAAACCATTTTAAGTATTGTAGTTAATAATTTTAATATATATATATATAAATATAATCTTGTTGTAAAAAAGATTAGTAAAAAGATATTATTTTGATTTTTATTACACTTCATTTTTATGACTTTTATTTCTTAATTTCACTAAAAAAGTGTTATCAGATCTCATTGTGAAGTAGATCAAAATTGTTAAAGTGTGTGGAGTTGTACGAGCTTCTTTCTCATCATCTGCATTCTTTGGGTCTGTGCACACATTATATGATGACTGGTACCATCCTGTCGATTTGCAGAACAACATTCTCAGACTCTCCTTTCAGAAGCCACAAAAGCCGACTTTCTTATCAGGCTGGAGAAATCTATTCTGTCACCAATGCAACATCTTGTCCATCTGGGTGTGTTTTTCAATGCTCACATAAGTCAAGCTCAACCAACCCCTGTCAATTTACAAGCCATGGAAAGAGCCATCAGGTTTTTACTTCTATCTCCTTCTCCTACTGCGTGGATGGTTCGCTTTCTTTTGGGTATATGGGCATCCCTCGAACTTCTCAATCCTTTGGGATGACCACAAATGAGTTCTGTTCAGTGGTCACTGCGTGACCAATGGATCATGCATTCCGACCCTTTGGATCATCCTTTCTCCTTACTCAGTAGCAACATTGTTGATTACGAATGGTGGTTGGATTGGAACAACACTACTGTTGGAGTACCCATTCCACTACCTCGTCCTGAGATCCATCTGTCCACAGATGCATCTCTTCAGAGATGGGGAGCTTATCTTCAAGGTCAGGAGTTCCAGGGTATTTGGACAGAAGACAAATCTACCCTCCATATCAATGTTCTCGAACTCCTTGCAGTACACTGGGCTATGGCTCAACGTCTGTCTCTCTTGACGGGAAAAGTTGTCATGATACATTCTGACAATTCCACAGCGGTTTCTCAGATTTCTCATCAAGGAGGTACACGTTCTCGAGACCTTTGTTTTCATACCTTGGATCTTCTCTACTGGGCTCGTGTTCATCATATCAGTCTTTTAGCATGTCATGTTCCAGGAATGATGAATTTAATTGCAGATCAATTATCTCGACCCAACCAGATTCTTCTGACGGAATGGATGCTACATCACGAGGTTGTTCAGTGGATTTGCTCTCAGTTCAAGTCTCCAATTATCAGTGCTATTGCAACTCATTGGAATTCTCAACTGCAGTTGTTTTTGTCTCCGATTCCTCATCCTCAGGCATTGACAGTAGATGCATTCAGTCAGGACTGGATAGGTTTGCATCTGTATTGTCTTTCCCCAACTTTGGCTATTGTCCTGGGTTCTGACTATGGTTTATTCTACTCCCTGTCGAGTTCTATTAGTTCCACCATATTGGCCAACTCTGCTTCTCCAATAACTACAAGAATGTCCACCTCTACCTCTTCCACACTGGCAGTCTCTTTGGAAACAACCTCAATTAGACATTCTCCACCCAGATGTTCGGAAACTGAATCTTCATGCTTAGAAGTTATGTGGTCCTTTACCTGGCATAAGGGTTTAACTTCTAAGGTTTCTCTGTATTTAACTAATTTCTCCATAGGCCAACCACTGCCGTTCATCAATGGAAATGGAATACTTATTGTCACTGGTATATTAAGAGGAATTTAAATCCTCTTTGTCCTAAAGTATCTACCATATCCCTTTTTTTTTTTTACTTGGGTATTTGAGAGTGGTCTTGCTTTGTCTACAGTAGCTTTGTGTAAGCCATCCTTATCCACTTTTATTCAGTATTCTAAATAGAGGAAGGTTTTTTGAATCCTCAGTTCTATCAGGTCTACTGAAATCTTTTGTATTCTTTGGCCCAAATGACTTTTTCACTTACCAAACTGGGATTTTACAGTTGTTTTGCACACATTGTCTCATCCTCCCTTTGAGCCCTTAGCTTCATGTTCTTTGTTTCACCTTTGTAATTTTTGTTGTTGTTGGCTTGTGGACATTGTCAGTCAAAGTTGTTTGCAATCCATGTGCATTGGACTCTTTATCATTCCATATTTGTCCATCTCACCAATTCATTTGTTATGTCCTGTTAGGACCATCAAATGTTATGTGGCTTGTGCTAACTCTTTTTAAGGTAGTAGGACTTGATTGTTCTTTCATTGGAATCCTTCTATTTCCCATGACTTATCTCCCATTACTCAACCGCAGTGGCTTCATAAATTAATTTACATAGCCTATAATGAATTATCATTACAGGAGAGGAATTTTTTGTATGTCACTTCTCACCAGATTCACCATATCTCTATGTCAATAGCTGTCGGGGTGGAATTACTCTCTGGAAGACATTGTGTGGGCTGGTATGTGGACTACTACTAATACTTTCCTATCTCATTACTTACATGATCTGGCAGTTTCCTCTTCTGAGGGTTTTTGCTACCTCTGGTAGCTATTTTGACCACATCTGTTAGATTTTAACCAGGGGTGAGTATTTCCTCAATCATATACTTTTTTATTTTTTACTGGATCCCACTCTGTGGCAAGTGTTGCCCAGGCAGGTATGCATTCTCTTTTCAATTCCACACTAGCAATCACTCACTATAATTACTACAGGTTGCAACATGCTCTGTCAAAATGGGGTGTTCCATAAGACTATCTAGAGGCTAACCAGATGGTATTTCCTTTTTATCATGGACTGCCATTCGTGGACTATCATAAGTAAAGCTAAAGGGGATCCTGCCAATCTTCAGGTTGAATAAATCCAGGTTGGTTTGCTTTGTAAAATTGCACAGTTTCCAGAGCACTGTTCCACAGGGCTCCCCAATTTATATTACCCCCTCCCCCAGACTACTGGTGGAGCTTTAAAGTCCTTACCACCCCAGTTTCCAGTCGCTGGAGTGATGGACAGAGGATTTTCCTCCGGAGTGTTAGAGTGTGTTCCTCCACAAAGAGCAAAGTTGGGGCCCTCCTACTCAAGTCCCTGAATGTTTTTCCCATTTGTCAGTTTTGGATGTAGTACGGTTCCCCCACTCTTGTACCATTTTTGTATTGGTACACTTCTATATAGCCAATTTCTGTATGGTTCATGCCTGTACTGGCCCCCTCCTTCTCAATGTGGGATTCTAGCTATAGTGTCAGCGGAGGTAAGTATGTTTTGGAAGTTAACATTTTTCCTAAACTGAAAATGTATTTCCGATAATACTTACCACCACTGACACTCTCCCACCCTACCTCCCCATTAAAAGCCAGTTTATGTCTTGAAAAAATTGATTACATTATCTGAATGAGGTGCTTATATACAGTACTTAGATAGAGGCGCATTGATGTTGGAGTAGGAATTTGCAAATAAGAATATGCCAAGGTAATTCAAGCAGGGTATAAAAGACTAGAGATCGAGAAATAGCTATAGTGTCAGCAGAGGTAAGTATTATTGGAAATACATTTTCAGTTTAGAAAAATATTAACTTCCATGATTTGCTAAAAAAACAAACTACAAATCTGTTTTCTAAGAAAGAGAAAGGAAGCATATTTAAGTAAGACTAACATTCTCAAAGTTTCTCTCTCTCTCTTTTTTTTAATTAACAATTGCATATACATTTTTTTTAAATTTTTGTTCCGATAAGCTGAGTGTTCTAAAGTGGCTAGTGGATCATGTATACAAGAAAAAAGAAGAGGAGCTTGCTGAATATTTGGATGAGAACTATAGTTCAGATGATTTGGTAAGTGAGAAATAGTTTTTCAGTGCATCTATACCTTTGTATTTATCATATTTATGTGAGCTAATCTAGTAGAAGGACATGAAAAAATTATCAGTTTTGTCTTAGTTAAAAGAAAATATATGTATCAAATGTTTAATCTTAGTTAAAACAAATCAAACATTTTGTCTTGATTATAACTAAATTTACATATATTCATCAATAAAAATAATAGGGATTAAGTTGCATCATGTATAAAGCTAATTTGGCAAAAGAATTAACTATCCTTCTTACATTGGAAAGTGCAAACAAATATTAAAAATATAATTTAACACATTTTATTACCTGGCCTAATTAAGGTTTTATTTTTAGTTAGTAGTGTTTGTGATGATTATAGTACTTGTACTATTCTGATAACAGTTATTATCAAATGTTTATTATATTATTTCTTAAAGTTTCAGCTGAATCTTAACAATGGAAATCTTGATTCAAACACTATACATAGCAGCATCAAATTAGACATGTACAATATCAAATGCCCCCCATTGGCACAGCGGTATGTCTGTGAACTTACAATGCTAGAAACTGGGTTTCAATACCCGTGATGGGCAGAGCACAGATAGCCCATTGTGTAGCTTTGTGCTCAACTTCAAACAAACAATATCAAATTTTAGTTGTTTCAGTATATGATACTGTCAGGATGTTTTGACCAAATTCTGATGCTGTTAAAGTATGAGTACTTTCATTTGTCATGTGAAGTGGATTATAAATATATTGTATTGTATACAAGTAAAAGCCCAGCTGCAGAGCATTTTATATTGTTGTAATGATTTCTTTTGTTGGGTAGGTTCTTTTAAATTATTTGATAAAAGAATGTAAAATTTAGTCCACCTAATGAAAGTATTTATTTCTCGAACTTTAACTTTTATAATTTAAATAGTTTCACAAAGTATCAGTAAGCCTAACTTTACAGATAATGCTAAACAGTCACTTAATTCTAATTTTCTTTTTTTGTACAGTATTTCTTGTACCCCAAGTACTTTGTTGAAACACAAACTTGGCATTCAGAAAGGTGAAGTAAACAACAAAGTGATTAATTAACAACTCATTAACTCAATAATTAACAACTTTAACAGACTCGCTACTCAATTAACAACCTACTCAAGTTGTGACAACTTGGGTTTAATATTGTTCAAAATTGTTTCCTAAAATTTTAAGAAAGTTGTTGTCTTCAAGACATGTATTCATTATGTTTGATTCGCCCTGGATTGTGAAGTTCCTTGAACAATACTATTACACAATGAAAACAATGTTAATTTAAACTTAATCTTACATAATTGATAATAAAATTAAAGCTTGACAAGTATTCATAAATATAGACATCATTATATCATTGTGTCACACAAAATACAATAAAAAGATTGATTAACAAGACAAAATTTCCTTTATTCATTTATTTACTGTGCACTCACTAAATCTTTAGTGGTTTTCTATTCCTTGAATTATAGTGCAAAAATGAGATGACCTCTTGCCCTTTATAAGAACTTTTTGTCTTTTCTTTAGAATTCTCATGAGACACATGTTCAAAGAAATCTACTGATGGTTTTCATCCCTGGTTACTCTGTTGAAGTGGTTTTGATAAGAACTCCAAGCTTTTCAGCAGGTTGATTTACCTTAAACAAGTCTTCTTTAAAACTAATCATTTTGCTGTTCTACTGCCATTGATCTTTCACAAATGATCACAGTGAATAACCTTTGGCTTGTACCACCTGTCTTCCCAGATTCTGTTCTGTTGCAGTTTAGGTTGGTTGTCTTTATTATCCTGTGCTTCCATTGTTGTTGTCACTGGAAGTCTAACTTCTGCTGGTGTAATTGTAATGTAGTCCTTAGTTATTTTTTAATGGATTCTGAAACTGTTTGAAGTTAGTATAGCATTACATGTGTGTTGTGTAGAGAAGCTTCCCTCAGTGAGGGTGACTTCTAACTTCTCTCTTGCTAGAAATTTATGACTGCTTGCTGTTTACAACAATCCATATTATTACTTCTACTCATCATCAGATCTGGTTAAACAGTGGTTGTTGTAGAACCAGTGTCATTCAACATGGTGCAAGGCTTCCCTTCAGTGAACCCTTTACCCATGTACTGGCATCATTAAATAATGTTAAATAATGGACACCTTATCTCAGTTGAGTCAGTTGGAGTGTTCTCATTCTCAAGGTATTGTCTTCTTGATTTATTATTGTTTCATACATAAGAACATCAGTATAATTCCATGTTTTCATTACTTACAGCAACTTGTTTCTCATTTCATCCTCTGGAGCAGATTCTATTTTTAAAGACTTTTGTCTGCAGTTTTGTGAAAAATGCCTTAAATCGTACTTAAAACAACTGTCCTGTTGTTTACTTCTTCCTTTATGAGTAAACAGTTGTTTAATTAATTCTAGACTGCCGTTAGCTGAACAGCTTCATTTAAACTTGTGCAATTACTTTGGTTTAGCTTAATTCGCATATCATCATCCACCATGTCATCTGTGAATTTTTCAAGTGCCATTGAATCCATCTTTTCTCAGGGAGCATCTGAAGAAAATAACTGGGCAAGCCTTTCCACATCTATATGTTCAACTAAGGTCTTATTCTTTCTTATTTTATTCTTAAACTTTGCTTCAGAAACTTCCTTTTGATATGATGTATTAAATCTCTCAAGGCAACTGCTAATGTCTGGTAGTTGTTGCTCTTTGTCGGAAGGTTGCATAATGTTATTAAAGCTGGTTCTTTTAAATATGCTGTAAGATGAATAGCTTGTTGTTCACTTCTCCAACCATTCACCTCAGAAATTATTTCAATCTTTGCCAGGTATACCTTACATGGTTGGTACCTTTCCACCATAATGATGTTGAAATGGCTTACAATACATCATAGCTTGATGAGGTAGTGATGAAGCTGGAGTGGTCTACAAAGGCCTGCAGTTATAGGTGGCACAGCAGTTGTGATAGCACATGTAAACTATTTTGATTCTCCTTTACCACATGGCATAGCTAATGATGTTTGAGGTTGAAATTATTTGAGTGACCAGGGAGAGATGTGTGACTGGTCTGAACCTTGCATTTCCAATTGGCATTTAAGTTTTTGTACTTTTATTATTATTATTATTTCATTGATGTCATTTTGTTCTTTGGTATTGTCCTTTTGTCGGGGTCTAAGCTGACTTTTTAAATATAAGTCTGACTAATGTCTTATTACCCCCCCCCCCAATCTATATGTAGGTCTTAGTGTGTATATCACAACTCTTCAAAGACTTACATTCAAAATTTATTTAAACTACTTTATTATCATTATGTTGAATAAACATGGCATCAAAATGTAGTTAATAAATCAAATTTTGTTATCTTCTCTAATCAAGACACTTGGTAGAGTGTCGTGCAGCCAAAGCAACCTTCAGGACACAGTGTTATTAATAGGAGTTATAGTTTAACAATTTTCCACTTTCTGTAGCTTAGACTGCGTTAATCCAAAGTATCACATTTTCAGTGGATGTGCTGTACTGGACCTTTACTTAACATACCAAATTTCAAGGCAATCCATTAAGAAATACACAAGATATAAATTCTTCAGTTTTGATTGAATTTCTTCCTCTTTTTTTTCTTCGCACTGAAAGTATGGAAACTTTATTTGATAGAAAAACATACTTACCTTTCATGGATTTTATTCAACTTTGGTATACTGATAGATCTTTAAAACCTACAATTAAGTATCAGATTTGGTCTAAATCTAAGACATGTGTGCAAAGTTGTTCAACAAAAACTGCTGAATTTTGACCAATATCTTTGTGCATGCCTACGCAAAACGTTACATGAGCTGTCAATCTGAAAGTTTTATTACAGCTTCAACTAAGAGTAAAGATGGACTGTTTTTAATTTTTTGTCATTCAGATTAAGGACTGCTCATTTTGAGCAACAAAACTTTAGGGTGAAAGCATGTGCAGATACATAAGTATTGGTTAGGCCAAGCAAACTAGATTATCAGTTTCTGGCTCAAGTCTTTAAAAGAATCATGTGGATGGATGGTTATTATTGATTATTCATTGCCAACTTTTCATCACAGATTTGCTAAATTCTATGAAATTATCCTAATTAAATAGCATTTAGTGTCACATGATATTAGCATAAATAATGATACTTGATATGGCTGTACGAATTGCATGAGGGTGATGACAAGAAACTATTAATCTAAATTCCATGGCATTAGTATAAAGTACAGGTTTGTCCTGAATAAATATCCTAAAGCTAATATTGGTTACTATCAAGTGTCACTTTCTTACTTACTATGGTTTGTTGGTGTGTATTGACAAAAAGTCATGATATCTAATCAAAAACACAATAGGTGTGAACAAAAGAGGATTAAGCATGCAACTTAAAGGAATGAAATCAAAATTGGTGATCAAACTGGTAGCATTGATAAGAATTTTACAGCAAGTATTCATTCATTAGTTAACTAGGCTACATGATGTCTTTTCTTCACTTCCTTTGGATAGATTTCTGTTTTTTCCATTTTATTTGTACCACAACTTTTTCTTCACTTCCAACAAAAAGCCATCCATCCATTTTTATTGTCCACCTTCCTCTATTTAACATGCGAATGAAACATTCCTTTCACAATGGCATAGAAAAATATGTCGTGTGTTACTCTACTTCTCTTGATGACTGTACATGGAGTTCTGTAAGTGTCTGATTGTCTGTATGTTACATGGTTCATAAGTTTGTGAATTTTTTATACCATTCTCTTGCAAAATGTACACATCTAGTTTTGGTAAATTTACAAGTGAAAGCCTAAATCCTGCCTTTTGTACATCTTTGAATTTGTTGCTCTGTAATTCACTGATGTCCTTTTCTAATTCCTTCTTTATTTCATTGATGTCCTATTATTCATCTTCAGTTTTGTTCTTATAATCTATCTTTTTTACATTGTCTTTGGCTTCCCCAATCTTGCCTTCAATCAGATTGATTTTTTTGTTTAGAAGTATACTGTAATCCTCAGGTCTCACTCTTAGTTTCTCTTAACCTATTTTCTTTTTCTTTTAATTTTCTGTTTCTCCACTGTTTCACCATTTCCAGAAGATTTGCAATTTCACTTTGAGCACATGTCAAAATACTCTCACTCCTAACAGCAGTTATAATGGTTTCTTTTGGATTACTTTGTAAAAAAGTATAAAAAGTCCAGTCCAATTAACAATAACAAAAACATTTTATCCCTTTAACTGTAATATTTGCAACTTACACAGTTTCTTGAACTAAAAATATGCCTTACTTCACAAATATGACTAAATAAACACCTACTTGTTTATTTTTGTGCACCTCTAGTATTTGTTGAAACACATATGCAATATTTATGAAGCTGAAGTAAAAAACAAATTCTAACTCATTAATCAACCAACTACTATAATAATGCTTGGAGACA